AAAGGTTACAATTGTTTAATTGTTGATTGGTATCTTCAGCAATGTTGAAGTTTGGAGATATCCTTGAGTTCTCACTGAATAGTTATTTCCCCATTTTCCTTTCTCAACAAGTGGATTTTTGAGATGATAAGAGGCACAGGGAAGAAGAATACTTTAGTCATCACAGTTACTAATCTGTGATCTTTCTCACTGCTTTGCTGGTCAAAAACAACTACTGAATTATGGTTTGTTGTATTTTCCCAAGTCTAGTTCCACTGTCTTTCTAACCTGACTAACTGGCAGGCAAGTCTTTCATCTCCCAATATGTAGAATTAACATACAATTGTGAATCAAATCAAGAGATGTGAATTTCTTGAAGATGATTCAGTTGTTTGGATTTGATGCGTTCAGATAAAATGGTCATCTCAGTGGAAACAGTTTCCTTTATTTCACATGGATCTCCTGGATTTGCCTCAGTTTGCAGTCAGGCAATCGTGTAAGCCATTTTAGGTCAGTTTTGCCATTGTGCACAAGTTAAAAATGTAAGAGTGATTAGTTGACTTTAAAGTGCTTTAGGAAATCCTGAGGCAATGAAAGATGCTGGATAATTGCAAGACAAGGATCCTAAAAATAGTGATTACAGCTTCAGATTGTAGACATGCTCGCCAAGCCAGTGGGTTTGGTTTTACAACTTTACCCGAGATCAGCTGAAGGTCCTTTTAAGAAACATTTCAAAAAGTCACCTCAGGTATTGTTTTAGTTGTGCAGTACATCTAATGATGTACAGACATAGAAACTCAGAAATATTGAAAATAGGAGTAGGAGTAGTTCATTGGCACTTTGAGCCTGCTCCACCATTCAATACAATCATGTTTGATCATCCAACTCAATACCCTATTTTCTGTTTGTCCCCTTTGATCCCTTTAGCCCTGATGTCCAAATTGTCATACTTCTGCACACAAGGGCAAATCTGTCTTTAACTGACAGGAAGAGGAGCAGTTCCGTCTGTTTTTATAGGATAAGGGCTAGGTCAGTCTCTGATTGACAGGGCAAGGTGCAAGACTGTCTATATAGACAGGAGGAGGGGAGACAGGATTGAGCCAAGGACTTTTTCTGATGGTGGGAGAGCCTAAAACTAGAGGGCATAGGTTTAAGGTGAGAGGGGAAAGATCTAAAAGGGACCGAAGGGGCAACTTTTTCACGCATAAAGTGGTGCATTGATGGAATGAGCTGCCAGAGGAGGTGGTTGAGGCTGGTACAATTACAACATTTATAAAGCATCTGGATGGGTATATGAATAGAAAGGTTTTAGAGGGATGTGGGCCAACTGATGGCAAACGGTGCTAGATTAATTTAGGATATCTGGTCCACATGGATGAGTTGTACCAAAGGGTCTGTTCCGGTGCTGTACATCTCTATGACTCTATGACAGGGGGAGGAGCATTTTGTCTGATTGACAGGAGGAGAGGCATAACACAGTGTGGAACTGGAGGAACACAGCAGGCCACGCAGTGTCAGAGGAGAAGGAAATGTGACGTTTCGGGTCGAGACACTTATTCAGATGTCCAGCCCTCCCTTTCACCCCCGCCTCTTGATGCAACCTGTCCATCTTCTCTCCCACCTATCCGCCCCTCCCACCTCACTGACCAATCCCCACCACTCCCTACCTGCACTCACCAATCACCATCCCACCTACCTTCCCCAGCCCACCCATCCTCTCTCTATTTATTTCTGATCTCCCTTCCCCCTCACCATTTCTGAAGAAGGGTCCCGACCCAAAACGTGAACTTTCCTGATCTTCTGATGCTGCCTGGCCTGCTGTGTTCCTCTAGCTCCATGCTGTGTTATCTCTGACTCCAGCATCTGCAGTTCTTGCTATCTCCCAGGAGGAGAGGCATGCTGCCTAGATTAACGGGATGGGGACTGGTCTGTTTCTGATTGACAACAGGAGGGGCAGGTCTGTTTCTGATTGACATGAGGTGGGGATGGTTCCTCTCTGACAGGTGGAGGGGCAGGTCTGTCTCTGATTGACAGGAGGAGGGGCAGGTCTGGCTCTGATTGACAGGAGATGGAGCAGGTCTGTCTGATTGACAGGAGGGGAGGCAGGTCTATCTCTGATTGACAGGAGGAGGGGCAAGTCTGTCTCTAATTCATAGGAGGAGGGGCACGTCTGTCTCTGATAAACATGGGGGGGGCGCACAGGTCGGGACTGAAAACAATAAAAAAGCTGGAACTCACAGCGGGCCAGGCAGCATCCATGGAGAAAGCGCAAGTTTCTTTAACATTTTGAGACTAGATGACTCTTCATCAGAGCTAACACAGTGTGGAGCTGGATGAACACAGCAGGCTAGGCAGCATCAGAGGAGCAGGAAAGCTGGGTCAGGACCCTTCTTCAGAAAGGGGGGAGGGGAAGGGGGCTCTGAAATAAATAGAGAGAGGTGCCAGTGATAGCATGCAGATAGTGGAGCGGATAGGTGGGAGAGAAGATGGACAGGTCAAGGAGGCGGGGATGAAGCTAGTAAAGGTGAGTGTAGATAGGCAATGGTGGGGATTGGTCAGTGAGGTGGGAGGAGCAGATAGGTGGGAGAGAAGATGGACAAGTCAAGGAGGTGGGGATGAAGCTAGTAAAAGTGAGTGTAGTTTGGCAACGGTAGGGATTGGTCAGTGAGGTGGGAGGAGCAGATAGGTGGGAGAGAAGACAGACAAGTCAATGAGGTGGGGATGAGAGGGGGGCTGGTCTTTGGATGAGGTCGAGGGTGGGGAGATTTTGAACCATCTCTGATACCTCTCTCTCCTTCCTGGACCTCTCTGTTTCCATCTCTGGTGGCCACCTCAAAACTGACATCTATTTCAAGCCCACCAACTCCCACAGCTACCTAGACTACACCTCCTCTCACCCACCTTCCTGCAAGAATGCAATCCCAATTCCCCTGCCTCTGCCACATCTGCTCCTAAGATGTGGACTTCCATACCTGAACATCCCAGATGTCCTTGTATTTCACGGACCGCAATTCCACGCCTCCCCCCCCTCCTCCCACCCCCGACAGTGGTTGAAAACGCCCTCGACCGCATCTCTTGGGTTTCCCACACCTCAGCCTTCACACCCCCTCCCCGCAATAAAAACAAAGACAGAATTCCCCTTGTCCTTACGTATCACTCCATCAACCTCCGGATTCAACGCATCATTCTCCACCACTTCCGCCACCTGCAATCTGACCTCACTACCAAGGATATATTTCCCTCCCCACCCTTACCTGCCTTCTGGAGGGATCGCTCTCTCCGCGACTCCCTTGTCCGCTCCACACTCCCCACTAGCCCCACCACCCCGGGCACCTTCCCCTGCAACTGCAGGAGGTGCTACACCTGCCCACCTCCATCCCAGGCTCCAAAAAAACCTTCCACATCAAAAAGATGTTCACCTGCACATCCGCTAATGTGGTCTATTGTATCCGCTGTTCCCGATGTGGCTTCCTCTACATTGGTGAGACCAAGTGGAGGCTCGGAGACCGCTTTGTGGAGCATCTACGCTCGGTTCGCAACAAACAACACCTCCCAGTCATGGACCACTTCAACTCCCACTCCTACTCCCTGGATGACATGTCCATCCTGGGCCTCCTCCAGTGTCACAACGATGCCACCTGGAAACTGGAAGAACAGCACCTCATATTCCGCCTTGGAAGCCGACAACCCAATGGTCTCAATGTGGACTTTACTAGCTTCAAAATCTCCCCACCCCTGTCCTCATCCCAAGTCCACCACCTCCCCCCATCCCCGCTTCCTTGTCCTGTCCATCTTCTCTCCCACCTATCCACTCCACTATCCACCTGCTATCACTGGCCCCCCCTCTCTATTTATTTCAGAGCCCCCTTCCCCTCCCGCATTTCTGAAGAAGGATCCCAACCCGAAACGTCAGCTTTCCTGCTCCTCTAATGTTGCCTGGCTGGCTGTGTTTCTCCAGCTCCACACTGTGTTATCTCAGACTCTAGCATTGGCAGTTCTTACTATCTCTTCATCAGAGCTGATGTGACGTGTGGAGCTGGTAGCATTTATGCAATAGTCAGGGCGGGCGGTTGGAGTGCTGGTAGAGGAAGGGTGTAGATAGTGCAAATTATGTGATCAGAATGTGAGAATGGCAGAATAATGTGTGTCTAACTGCCATACCGGAAAGAATAGATGGTCCCACTGCGCTGAGGGGAGGGGACAGAAACATGGCAGCACGTTGACTCAGTGGTTAGCACTGCTGCCTCACAGTGCCAGGAACTTGCATTAGATTCCACCCTCGGGTGACTGTGTGGAGCTTTCATGGTCTCCCTGTGTCTGGAGGTGTTCTGCAAAACTGTCACCCAGTCTGCATTTGGTTTCTCCAATGTAGAGTACTTGACATTGGTGCAGCGAACACAATACACAAGATTGGAGGAGGTACAGGTGAAAACCTGCTTCACCTAGAAAGAGATAACACAGTGTAGAGCTGGAGGAACACAGCAGGCCAGGCAGCATCAGAAGAGCAGGAAAGTTGACCTTTCCGGTCGGGACACTTCTCCAGATATGGAAAGACTTGCTTATGTCCTCAGATGGTTAGCAGGGAGGATGGGCATTTTGTCTGATTGACAGGAGGAGGGGG